TTGAGTTTAATGTTCTCTAATTAGAAATAGTTAAAAAGACGTTAGTATTTAAATTTTGAATTTAATTAAAAGACACTTTTATTTAATTAGGAAAAAATATGCAAATTGTTTTAATTTTGTTTATAAAAAACAATTTTTTTTGATAAAATATTTTTCCATTAAAGGGATTTTTGTTAAAAAAATATTTTTACTTTTGATAAAAAAATATTTTTATTTTTATTAAAAAAAAATTATTTTTATTAAAAAATATATTTATTTTTATTAAAAAATATTTTTATTTTTATTGAAAAATATTTTTATTTTTATTGAAAAATATTTTTATTTTTATTGAAAAATATTTTTATTTTTATTGAAAAATATTTTTATTAATTTTTTTTTTATTAAAAAATATTTATATTTTTATTGAAAAATATTTTTATTTTTATTAAAAAATATTTATATTTTTATTAAAAAATATTTATATTTTTATTGAAAAATATTTTTATTTTATTAAAAAAATATTTTTATTTTTATTGAAAAATATTTTTATTTTTATTAAAAAATATTTTTATTTTTATTAAAAAATATTTTTATTTTTATTAAAAATATTTTTATTTTTATTAAAAAATATTTTCAAAAATATATTTAATTTTTATAAAAAATATTTTAATTTTTATTGAAAAAATATTTTCATTTTTATTAAAATATATTTTTATTTTTATTATTTTTTTTTATTATTAAATATTTTTATTAAAAAAAATATTTTATTTTTATTGCCTTTACTTTTTATTCCAAAGGCATTAATATCCACTCGTTTCTTTTTAACTTCCTTTGAAGTAAATAAAACAGAAATGCCCCCATTGCCTTCCCCCCAACCCCATAATTACTTCATTCTTAAGAAAGTAATCGAATTTCTCATCATTGCATTGCTGAAACAACAACAAAAATAACAATTAATGCAACCTTTACAGCACAGCCTATCTATCATCTCATTACATATCCTCCTCTTCCTGTCTACAATATATTTTTTTCAACATTCAAATCAAATCATGTTGATGATGCTGGTGATGAAATGGAGAAGTGTTACCAAAAAAACAAAAACAACAACAGCACAACAACAATAACAACAAAGTCCCATCACGTTTCAACAACACATCCGATCGACAATTCAAAACAAAACGAATCTTACTCGATCAACGTTCGTCACCACAGCTCATTGTGTAAAAGCAATACAGCAACAACAATACATCCCTCATCAACATCTTCTTCATTTCTCTCCATACAAAAGAAAAAAATAGCCTTTTTTACCTTGCCATTAGCATCAATCAGTGAAGAAGAGCATATCAGTGGAGAGAGTCTCGGTTTATAACAAACCTCTCTCTCCCTCTTACACACTCAATCAAGAATTATTGTCTATACAAGACGACAACAACAGTATGCAATGAAGAAGGGTATCATAGTGGAGAGTCTCGTCTCTCTCCCACTTTGTTACACACTCACACTTTGCATAAGCAAGACAAAAATAACAACAACTGCATACATCATCATTGTCATTGAACATCATCGTCGTCTACCTGTAACGTTTACTGTGTAATCATTACTCGACGGAGAAAAACAAAGTACGAGTACATGCTCTAGTTTTTTACCCTTCGTTTAATGTACGATGATGATGTGCCTCGGCTTATAATAAACCTCTCCATTCTTCTTTCACAATCAATCAAGAATTATTGCCTAAGCAAGACGACAACAACAGTATGCAATGGAGAAGAGTATTATAGTGGAGAGTCTCGTCTTATCACAAGCCTCACTCTCTCCCCCTTTGTTACACACTCAAGACTCTTTGCATATAAACAAGACACAACAACAACAACTACAGACAGTATCATGGTCATTAAACACCATCGTCGTCTTCCTGTAATGATTACTGTGTAATCATTACTCGACGGAGAAAAACAAAGTACGAGTTTTTTATTCTTCGTTTAATGCACGATGATGATGATGTGCCTCGGCTTATAATAAACCTCTCCCTCCCTCTTTCACAATCAATCAAGAATTATTGCCAAAGCAAGACGACAACAACAGTATGCAATGGATAAGAGTATTATAGTGGAGATTCTCGTCTTATCACAAGCCTCACTCTCTCCGCCTTTGTTACACACTCAAGACTCTTGGCATATACACAAGACACAACAACAACTACAGACAGCATTATTGTCATTGAACATCATCGTCGTCTTCGTTTTAATGCACGATGATGATGTGTCTCAGCTTATAACAAAGCTTTACCTACGCCTTACAAACTCAATCAAGACGACAACAGTAACAACAGCAATGGAGAAGGGTTTCATAGTGGAGAGTCTTGTATTATAACATGCCTAAATTGCCTTCTCTCTCTGTTAGGCACACACCACAATACTCTCAGCATATGAACAAGCCACAACAACAACAACAACAGACAGCATCATCGTCGTCTACCTGTAATGATTACAGTGTAATCATTAATCTCGGAGAAAAAACAAAGTACGAGAGCATGCTCTAGTTTTTTTACCCTTCGTTTAATGCACGATTGCGATGATGATGATGATGACTCGCATATTAATATGATTGTCGAAAAGGTTGTGGTGGGGGGAAACGATTAAACGGTGGCTGTTTTTGATATTGTTGTTTTTGTTGTCGAATATTATTGTTGTTTTATCACTTTGTATACACACACACAAACACGTAGACGCACAGAGTGCATGCACATTAACTATCGTAAATAATCTAGATCAGGTACTAATTGTTGTTCTAAGGAATTCGATTAAAATAAAAAGGGTAGGGCTAAGAAAAAAAGCCATTTTAAGGCGGTTTTTAATGGAATAAAAAATTCGAGTTTTTTTCTACTGAAATCAGACAACATACCTATGAAGAATTTTATTTAAAAAAATTACGTTTTAGGTTTTTTTTTTGTAGAAAAATGAAATTTATTGACAAAAAAAAATTTAACTATATTCAGCAATTTTTGTTTGTTCAGCAACAAAGTGCATTCCGCTATTATTTTTTCTTTGCAGTTATGTACTTCCAAACCCATTGGCCTCTTCCGTTCATATGTGGAGCACCACAAGCACTTAAAGTGCTTGCGACTGAGTGCCTAATATTTATTTAAGTTAATTGCATTTTCTATTTATTTAACAAATTAATTTATTTTTCCTGTTGTTGGTGTTGTTGTTATTGTAAGTTGTAAATTGGTCATATTCGCTGTGGGGATTCGGCCATACATTATTATTTTGGGTCAACTATAATTAAAGAAGTAAATTTATGATAAATTTAAAAACATAATCGCAGTTTTTTTCTACAGAAAAAAATCTCCGGACCCTTGTTCGGAGTTTTTTCTATCGAAAAAATGCCCGGAACCTAGTTCGGAGTTTGTTTTCTATCGAAAAAAAAAATCTTCGGAACCTAGTTCGGAGTTTTTTTCTATAGAAAATAAATAGTTGGGGGTTCTCCGGACCCTAGTTCGGAGTTTTTTCTATAGAAAAAAATCTTCGGACCCTAGTTCGGAGTTTTTTTCTATAGAAAAAAATCTTCGGACCCTAGTTCGGAGTTTTTTTTCTATAGAAAAAAATGTTCGGACCCTAGTTCGGAGTTTTTTTTCTATAGAAAAATCTCCGGACCCTAGTTCGGAGTTTTTTTCTATAGAAAAAAATCTCCGGACCCTAGTTCGGAGTTTTTTTTTTCTATAAAAAAAAATCTCCGGACCCTAGTTCGGAGTCTTTTTCTATAGAAAAAAATCTCCGGAGCCTAGTTCGGAGTCTTTTTCTATAGAAAAAAATCTCCGGACCCTAGTTCGGAGTCTTTTTCTATAGAAAAAAATCTCCGGACCCTAGTTCGGAGTCTTTTTCTATAGAAAAAATCTCCGGACCCTAGTTCGGAGTCTTTTTCTATAGAAAAAAATCTCCGGACCCTAGTTCGGAGTCTTTTTCTATAGAAAAAAATCTCCGGCCCTAGTTCGGAGTCTTTTTCTATAGAAAAAAATCTCCGGACCCTAGTTCGGAGTTTTTTTTTTTTTTGTATAGAAAAAAATCTCCGGACACTACTTTTAATATTTTCTTCTTGTCCCTTAATATCCTCCCAAGCCATTTTCGTCCACATTGCCCCCAATTAATAAATTTATTCAACCTCCTGAGAATACCTTAAATTTATGGCTTGACCCGACATGCAGTAATTACAGCAAAACGGCTAAATTTAATTTGTTAAATAAATACAGAAGCAATTAGCGGGAACAAATAATAGACATTTTGTGCGGAACACTTCAAATGGAGGCTAACAAGTGGCGGTGTTGTGGCATAAAGCCAAAGGGCAGTTGAGGACTTGGGCGAAAAAAAATTTGAAAAAAAAATCGAAGCAAAAAATTCGAAAAAAAATTATTGATGATGGCTCTTTTAAATCTGACCTCATTATTGGCAGCGGAATTTCCTGCAAGGAATTTCAGTTTTTTAAGGGTCCTCCAGCACGAAATGGCCATAGAGACCCTGGTGTTTTACGATTATCAAAATCAGGGAGATTTAGTGGATATGTGGAAGCGAGCTGCAGGGGAACAGGTGGTCGCCGATGAACCTCCTTTGGTGCTAGTCAGCCAACAGATACCCTGGTTGTTAAAGGATAATTTGTCATGGAATTTTTTACCCTTGGTATTTGTTAGATCTCAGGGAAGTGAGGAGATTTTGGAGATTCTTTTGGCCTCCATGAAACGCTGACATTTGAAACTTATCGCCTTCGTGGCCTCTGAGGATTTGGATCCGCCAGAGAAATGGTGGCCACTGTGGCTTTGGTGTCGTAAAAATGGTTTCTTTAAAACAATTCTAATTAATTTCGAGGACCCTGAGAGGATGGTAGTTTTTCGGCATTACAACAACAATGAACGGTGTATTACAACAACAAATTTTGAAGAGTTCTGGCATACAGAAGTTTGGGAAAATTCAAAAAATCTCCATGGCTTTCCCATACGTTGTGTTTTGGGCAATAATCCGCCCCGATCATTAATGTGGTGGTCCGGAAATGGTTCCAGCAGCCACCTCCACATCAGCGGTTATTATGCCACAATTCTGAAAATCTTTGCCAAGCAGTACAATGCCACACTGGACTGGATCATCAACTCCCACAAGGAGTACTACAATGAACTGGACTGCCTGCACTATATAAGGTCCAATCGCACCGATGTCTGTGCCGATGCCATGATAATGGGTCCCAATTATATTGTCACCCAGCCGGAAGAGATAACCAACAGCTATCTCATTGTTCCGCAGGATACAGCCATGGATCGTTTTTATTATTTCATTAAACCCTTCCAGCCGGAGGTGTGGCTCTGGGGTGAATTTACGATGTGCTATGTCAGCCTCATGTTGTCTCTGATAAATCATCTGCAGGGTGGGGTATGGGATTTCCCCCAGAATTATTTAAACTCCATGATGGCAGCAGCGAACCTACCCTTCCAGCTGACAAAGATCCAAGGTTGGCGTCGAAGATTTTTGGAAATTTTCATGTTCCTCTGTGGCTTCGTCCTGGCCAATTGGTATTTATCGCTGCTCTCCAGTTTATTGTCCAGTCGCCTCTATGACAACTACATCACCTCCCTCGAGGACCTGGTGGAACACAACATCTCGATTATCATCAGTGAATATGAATATATTTTCCTCAACAGCACCGATATCTCCCCCCTGCTCAGCCAACAGCTGAGGATAGTGGACAATGCATTCCTTTCCGCATCCCGTCGTAACCTCACAGCCCGCTATGCCTATTACAGCCAATATGATAAAAATTATTTCTATCTAAGGCAGCAGATCTACATGGAAAAACCCCGGATGAAGGAGCTCGTGGAATATCCAATAAATCCGGTTTATGGTGGCATTCCACTGCGTCCCAATTGGCCTTTGGAGGGCAAGCTGAACACGCTGATGGGTTATATGCTGGAAAGTGGGGTATTTATAAGAATCCTGGAGGACACATTTTATGATGCCATACGTATTGGGCACTTGAAATATTTTCCCATGGATCGCGATGCGGTGGAACCACTAAGTTTGGAATATTTCAGAATGCCAGGTACTTTGCTGGTGGTGGGGTATACAATGGGTGCGATTTGTTTTATTGGGGAAATTTTAATAAAGAAATATAGAAATTAGAAAAAAAAACAAATTGAATTTCAGCTCGGAAATTAGAGAAAAATTTCCGGACCCCTTGTTCGGAATTTTTTCTATAAAAAAAATCTCCGGACCTCAATACGGATTTTTTTCTATAGAAAAAAATGTTCGGACCCCAGTTCGGAATTTTTTTCTATAGAAAAAAATGTTCGGACCCCAGTTCGGAATTTTTTTCTATAGAAAAAATTTCCCGGACCTCAGTTCGGATTTTTTTCTATAGAAAAAATTTCCCGGAACTCAATTCGGAATTTTTTCTATAGAAAAAATCTTCGGACCTCAGTTCGGAATTATTTTCTATAGAAAAAATTCTCCGGACCTCAGTTCGGAATTTTTTTCTATAGAAAAAATTCTCCGGACCTCAGTTCGGAATTTTTTTCTATAGAAAAAATTCTCCGGACCTCAGTTCGGAATTTTTTTCTATAGAAAAAATTCTCCGGACCTCAGTTCGGAATTTTTTTCTATAGAAAAAATTCTCTGGACCTCAGTTCGGAATTTTTTTCTATAGAAAAAATTCTCCGGACCTCAGTTCGGAATTTTTTTCTATAGAAAAAATTCTCCGGACCTCAGTTCGGAATTTTTTTCTATAGAAAAAATTCTCTGAACCTCAGTTCGGAATTTTTTTCTATAGAAAAAATTCTCCGGACCTCAGTTCGGAATTTTTTTCTATAGAAAAAATTTCCCGGACCTCAGTTCGGAATTTTTTTCTATAGAAAAAATTTCCCGGACCTCAGTTCGGAAATCTCCAGAATTTTTTTCTATAGAAAATTTTTTTCTATAGAAAATTTTTTTCTATAGAAAAAATTTCCCGGACCTCAGTTCGGAATTTTTTTCTATAGAAAAAATTTCCCGGACCTCAGTTCGGAATTTTTTTCTATAGAAAAAATTTCCGTCAGTGAAGATTTTTCTATAGAAAAAATTTCCGTCAGTGAAGATTTTTCTATAGAAAAAATTTCCGTCAGTGAAGATTTTTCTATAGAAAAAATTTCCCGGACCTCAGTTCGGAATTTTTTTCTATAGAAAAAATTTCTCGGACCGCAGTTCGGAATTTTTTTCTATAGAAAAAATTTCCCGGACCTCAGTTCGGAATTTTTTTCTATAGAAAAAATTTCTCGGACCTCAGTTCGGAATTTTTTTCTATAGAAAAAATTTCCCGAACCTCAGTTCGGATTTTTTTCCTATAGAAAAAATTTCCCGGACCTCAGTTCGGAATTTTTTTCTATAGAAAAAATTTCCCGGACCTCAGTTCGGAATGTTTTTCTATAGAAAAAAATCTTCGGACCTCAGTTCGGATTTTTTTTTCTATAGAAAAAAATCTCGGGACCCTAGTTCGGAATTTTTTTCTACAGAAAAAATCTCGGGACCCAAGTTCGGATTTTTTTCTATAGAAAAAATTCTCCGGACCTCAGTTCCAAAAGTTCTTCGGGCCTAAGTTTGGAATTTTTTTCTATAGAAAAAAATTCCGAACTAAGGTCCGGAGATTTTTTTCTATAGAAAAAAATTCCGAACTATTCGGAATTTCTTTCTATTAAAAAAATCTCCGGACCCAAAGTTAGAAAAAAATTCCGAACTGAGGAACTAGGGTTCGAATAAAAAATTAAATTCCCCTTCCCCCTTTTTCGTATCACTTTTGTCCGAAGAAAAACTTCAAAATTAATTTTCAATACATTTAATTGAGAATGCAATAAAATTCAATTAAAATTAAATTTTTGATGTTGTTCCCAAAACCGCTAATGCAGTTTTTATTACTTCTTGGTTTCGGCTTCGTTTTCATTCGAACGCAAGCACACACAATTGATGGACTACCATCGCCGCCAAATGACGCTGGACTCCATTAAAAGTGAAGTGCAACGAACTGAAGAAAAAAAACCCAATTCAGAAGTAGCGGTGGTATCGAAAACTAAAAGCCATGCTCATAAAAAAGTAGTTTAAAGAAAAATAAAAAATAAAAATTAGGTTACAACAATAAATTAATGGTACTCAAGAAGTCGATCGGAAGCCACGTCTGTTGGCTGCTGTCGGCTCTTTAACGCTTCATTGCCATGTGAAACAAGGCATTTAATTTAAACAAATTAACGATCTAATTTTTGGGGTTTGGGAATATTTCCAAAAAATAAAAATTTCAAATGTTCCCCTCTTTCCCACACACCCTGCCCCCCACCCGCCGAAAAATAATCAATTTCATCGATTTTCAATTGTTAATGAATTTTCAAATTAATTGTCTCCAAAAAAAAACAGAAAAATCGATTCGGATGACCAAAGAGGGGGAAGGGGAAGGGGAGGGGGAATATTTCCCCTTGCCGTCTTTAAAAAAATAAATTGTTGTTTGTGAAGTGTCAGACGACACATGTCATCTGAAATGTTTTATTGAATTTCAAGTTCCCGTCCCAATATGGGTTTGCAATGAATGGACGGGTGGGTGTGTTGGTGAAAAAAAATTAATTAATGGAATTTTTCAATGGACCTTTTAAGCTTCATTGGTTTTCAAGTAGATGTTTTATCGGTTGACAAAAATTACCCTACACCACTTGAAGAACTTCGTACTGAGCTCCAGAGATTTTTTCTATAGAAAAAAAAATCCGAACTAAGACCCGGAACTTTTTTTCTATAGGTCCCGAGAATTTTTTTCTATAGAAAAAAATCTCCGGACCTAGGATCCGGAGATTTTTTTCTATAGAACAAAATTCCGAACTAGGGTCCGGAGATTTTTTTTCTATAGAAAAAAATTCGAACTAGAGTCCCGAAGATTTTTTTCTATTGAAACAAATTCCGAACTAGGGTCCGGAGATTTTTTTCTATAGAAAAAATTCCGGGGATTTTTTTTCTATAGAAAAAAATGCGGAACTGGGGTCCCGTGAATTTTTTTCTATAAAAAAAATGCGGAACTAGGGTCCCGAGAATTTTTTTTTCTATAGAAAAAAATCGGGAACTAGGGTCTCTATATTTTTTTTTTTTTTTTTTTGGAAAAAAAATCGGAACTTCGGAATTTCCGAACTTCGGATTTTTTTTTTTTTTTTTTTTTTTTTTTTTTTGAATTTTCAAAATTTATTCTATGCAAATTTAATAGTCCGTAATCTGTCATAACCTGCCACTATGGTGTTATTGTTTCTATCTTCTTTTTATTTATTAACAATTTGTCTTGTGATAAATAAATTAGCTTAGCTTCGAAGTTAATCCTCATAATTTAGTTGATAAGACAACAATGATTCGAATGAGCGGACCATTGTTTTTTAGGCCATATCTTGATAACGAATTATGAAATTGGAAAAAAATAACAAAAAGAACCCACGAAAATGAAGTGAGAAATGTCAGGCAGAAAGACAGCAAGACACCGAAGTGGAGAGAAAAAAATACTTCGAGGTCCAAAACAAAAGTCTGAAACTAATTAAGCCTTTTTTAAGATAAAGCAAGAACAACAACAACAACAAAAAGAAAATATAACAAAAACATATAACACATTATGTTGTTGTTTTTTCGGATCTACAGCCTCTCTAAGCTAAGGAATTCCAAATTTCATTCATTCGGCTGGCCTCAGGGCATTCATTCACCAAAAACAAAAAATAAAAAATACGAAATCCAAAAACACGGACAGGAAGTGAATAATTTGTGGCATGAAACCCCGAAAAAACAAATGTTGTTGTTTTTGTTGTAAACAAAATTCGAAACAGCTTGGCTGGCTATCTTAAGCCTCACAATGAAAAGGCGTAAAAATTTATTGGATATTTTAAAAAACCGAACAGCAATTTCGAACACCAACAACACGCCCCATTAAGCCAAATACAAAGAATTTCAAACAACAAGAACAACAACAACATTTTCAAAAAAAAAAAAAAAAGGTGACCAACTATGGACCAAAAATGAAATAACCCCAACATTCCCATTAATTATTTTCCAATTAATATTGAATTTCATTAGCTTACCTTCAGCGGGAGATTGGAAAAAAAATCCAAAATCTGAAAAAAATAAACGGAAAGAATTAGAAAATATTTTGGGAAAATGCGAAAAAAATGAGGTCCGGAGAATTTTTTCTATAGCAAAAAAATTCCGAACTGAGGTCCGAAGAAATTTTTCTATAGAAAAAAAAATCCGAACTGGGGTCCAGAGAATTTTTTCTATAGAAAAAAATTCCGAACTGAGGTCCGGAGAATTTTTCTATAGAAAAAAAATTCCGAACTGTGGAACGGATAATTTTTTCTATAGAAAAAAATTCCGAACTGAGGTCCGGAGAATTTTTTCTATAGAAAAAAATTCCGAACTGAGGTCCGGAGAATTTTTTCTATAGAAAAAAATTCCGAACTGAGGTCCGGAGAATTTTTTCTATAGTTTTTTCCTCAGTATGGGATTTTTTCCTATAAAAAATCCGAACTGAGGTCCGGTGAATTTTTTTCTATAGAAAAAAATGCCGAACTGAGGTCCGGTGAATTTTTTTCTATAGAAAAAAATGCCGAACTGAGGTCCGGTGAATTTTTTTCTATAGAAAAAAATGCCGAACTGAGGTCCGGTGAATTTTTTTCTATAGAAAAAAATGCCGAACTGAGGTCCGGTGAATTTTTTTCTATAGAAAAAAATGCCGAACTGAGGTCCGGTGAATTTTTTTCTATAGAAAAAAATGCCGAACTGCAATCCGGTGAATTTTTTTCTATAGAAAAAAATGCCGAACTGAGGTCCGGTGAATTTTTTTCTATAGAAAAAAATGCCGAACTGAGGTCCGGTGAATTTTTTTCTATAGAAAAAAATGCCGAACTGAGGTCCGGTGAATTTTTTTCTATAGAAAAAAATGCCGAACTGAGGTCCGGTGAATTTTTTTCTATAGAAAAAAATGCCGAACTGAGGTCCGGTGAATTTTTTTCTATAGAAAAAAATGCCGAACTGCAGTCCGGTGAATTTTTTTCTATAGAAAAAAATGCCGAACTGAGGTCCGGTGAATTTTTTTCT